TCAGGGTTGACTCAGCCTTCCATCCTTCCGAGGTGGGTAAAATGAGGACCCAGATTGTTGGGGGCAATATGCTGACTCTCTGTAAACCGCTTAGAGAGGGCTGAAAGCCCTATGAAGCGGTATATAAGTCTACTGCTACTGCTATTGCTATTGTGAGCTTGGCAGGCTGGATTGCTGCCACGGCTTATCTGTGCTGGATTGCTGCCCAAGCTTGTGTGTGCCAGTTTGCTGCCAAGGAACTGTCTGTCTGTTAATTAAATGCCGTAACCTATCTTTGGCTCGGAGTGCGTGTTGATGTGGGACGAAGGGGGTGAGAACACTCCAGCGTCTCATCATAGACACTGCGACCCCAACATCCAGAATCTGCCTTCCTCGGGAAATTGTTTCACTTGCCTTCCTCTCTGGGGAAAAAACTATCAGTTATTATTTTTGTTTCATTAGATTTTCTTCCTGCCTTTGGAAGTAGCTCAGGGCAGGGAGGATGGCTGATGTCTCTTCCTCCTCCTATTTTCTCTACAACAACAATCCTGTGAGGTGGGTTGGGCTGACAGAGAGACTGGCCCAAAGTCACCCAGCTGGCTTGCGTGGCTAAGGCGGGACTACAACTCACTGTTGCCTGGTGATTGGCCCAAAGTCACCTAGCTGGCTTGCATGCCTAGTGCGGGACCTGAACTCACTGTCGCCTGGGGATTGGCCTAAAATCACCCGCATGGCTTTCATGCGTAATGCAGGACTAGAACTCCCAGTCTCCTGGTGTTTGGCCCAAAGTTAACCCAGCTTGGCTTTTGTGCCAAAGGTGGCACTAGAATTTACCATCTCCTGGTTTCCAGCCTGGTGCCTGAAACCACTACCCCAAGCTGGCTCTGGTTTTGTGATTGAGGTGGGGCTTCGTTGGGACTAGAACTCACAGTCCCCTGGTTTGTACGCCAGCACCTTCACCACACCACCAAATTGGCTCTCAAAATAGTAATTATAAAATAAAATAAAAACCTTCTGCGCATCCTACAGAAACAGTACCAAAATTGAGAGGTACCACTCGGTAAAACAGACCCGCAGTCTTACTCATCCACATGTGTTCTGACCCCCCCCCCTTCTCCATCCGGGAACGAATGCCGAAACCAACGTAAATAAGAATACTTTTAATCAGTCCAGACTCTTGTTGGCTGCAAGCCCAAAATAAACAAAGAGATAAGCACTCTGGCAGCAAGTCCTACAAACTTAGGATAATGGAAACAAGCTCTCACAGCAAATCACTTCTCCAAGTTGGTTTCTCTGAACCCTGAACGTTGACTCCTGCAAACAGGGCGTGGCACAAGTAGTCTCTTTTATAATCAGGAGAGGATCTTAATAAGCATCAGCTAAGCGTAATCATCTCCTACAATTACTCAGTTGTTCTTGCCGCCGAGTAGCCCTTCGACGGCGTGCATCCCGAAACAACTCACAAGTATTTTCCGGAACACTCCCTCTGATCCAAGGCTCCAGCACCACCTGGTGGCCAACCAGTCTCTCCTCACCCTGCTCAGAGTCGGAACCCTGTCCAGGGTCCTCCAACTCCTCCAGGGCCGACTCATAAGACCCCTCGCTGTCGGAGTCTGGCGGCAGCTCCAACGGCTCCTGCCAGGCCACAACAAACATAGTAGTATTGGATATTAGAAAATATATATTAGAAAAGAAAAGCAGCATTATGACTAAGGGGTACTACTCTTAGTAGTAGTGCCAGAGTAGAGCATTAGATTATTAAGAGTTGAGCATTAGATTGTTACTCTTTCCTGGATCAATCAAGAACTTAGGTAGAAGAAGTACTTCCAATAGTAGTTTCATTTATCTTCTCGTTAAAAATCTGCCCGTTTGGTAAGATACTATTGTATATTGGTTCCACCTGATTCAGCTGTAAAAGCTGTAAGTAATTCCTTCTATTTAACCATCAGAATAGTCCCCTTGACTACTAGCTGATACATTTGCACAAAACTTTCAGTAAATAAATAAAGCAAATTAAGAGAAATTGGTCTTCTCTTTTCCATTTATCAGTTAGATTTTGTATACAAAGTAACTTACTTTTTTTAACATAGCATCCTATAGAACTAGGGTGAAACGCATTAAATGTTTTTTATTTGTAAGTAGCTGTGATTCGGAAGGTTTATAAACAAAAAGAAAATGCAATCTCCAGAAAAAGAATGTTCTAAAAATTATGTTTTCTTAACACAGAAAAAACAAGCACAGTTCTATGAAAATATTGTGAAAGTAATAAGACCTAAACCAGATTACTTTGCAGTTGGTTATTATGGACAAGGATTTCCAACATTTTTACGGGTAAGTAAAAATAATAATAATTCTCTACTTTGATTTTGCTGCAGGCCAGAAAAACACATTATGTATTCTATACACTTTGAATGAAAGACAGTATTCCAAATGTTCATAAATCCATTTTATTGATAATAAAATAGAGTGGATGATACAATGGATGGTCATGGTAGAATAATGAATACTCGTTTTGGTTTTGTTCTTAAATTTTGGCTAATATTTTGATACATTTTCAGACATTTTCTGGTGCTCTAGAATTTAACTCTTATGTTCCCACCCTAGTTTCTAAAGGCTGAGTAAGTCATTCACCAATGTTTTATTTCCCATGGTTGAACGCTGTACGAAAAACCAAGTGAATCATGAAGTCTACCTGTGTTTTACTAAAAAGTATTGCCAGAAAATGACTCGTATTTCCTTGCTGGTTTCACAGTTGCAGAGATAAATGCTAATAACACTGAATAATTAAATGTGGCCTTGTGGAAAACCACAAGGAATCACTTGGGAAGTAGCAAAGCTATCCAAAATATTTGAATTTGAGTAAGGCGTAGAATGTGAAATAACAGTGCTATCCTAAGAAATGAAACAGAGCAATTTTCACATGTTCAAGTGCATTATTTCTTTTTTTTTTTAAAGTAGAAATATAATACCCTGTTTTCCCCAAAATAAGAAACTCCCCCACTCGGATAATAAGCCCAATTTAGCGCATATGCTAAAATAAACCCTCTCCTGACAATAAACCCTCCCTAAAATATTCAAACACATGCGCAGCCAGTCCCCGACATTTCCTCTAGTTGCTTGTTACGCAAAAAACACAAGGTGAGGAGGTGAGGCCAGAGGAGGGGAAAGTGAAGGGGAACCTGCCCCATGCACCCCACATGCCCTTAGCCAACAGCCGCTCCGACAACCCCAGTCACCGCACCCTAATCAAAGTTTGTTAGCTTTCTTAATGAGACAATAACACTCTTGTGTTTGTTGTGAGGAGCTAAAAAATGTAGAGCTTAGTAGTCACAAACAAATGCTTAATAATAGCTCTCCCTCCCCTTTTTTTTTTTTAAAAAAAATCTCCTGCCTACTGTTTTTGTATTTATCCATTTTGGGTTCTAAATGGATTTGGATTTGGGTTTGATCCTTATATAGTAGCAATAAAAATGCACATAAAATTTCAATCCAAAGAACATAGTTATTAGAGTAAAACCAGTAAAATTTTTGGGAACATTGTTTTTGTTGAGTCTGTAATTGACAAGTTTAGTAGATGTCAATAGTTTTTGTTCGTGTAAATCCAGATTTAATCTATAAAGAGTACTTAACCTTTTAAGGGAATTTTGTATTTATCCATTTTGGGTTCTAAAGACTTTGATCCTTATATAGTAGCAATAAAAATTCAATCCAAAGTAGCAATAGTAGCAATAAAAATTCAATCCAAAGAACATAATTATTAGAGTAAAGCAAGTAAAATTTTGGGGAACATTGTTTTTGTTGAGTCTGTAATTGACAAGTTTGGTAGATGTCAATAGTTTTTGTTCCTGTAAATCCAGATTTAATCTATAAAGAGTACTTAACCTTTTAAGGGAATTTAACTAACCATCATAAAAAAACCTCATTTCACAAATAATTTTCCATTCCATACACTGACAACTATAATGTACTTATTTAATTCAAAAACATGTACCAGAATAAAAAAATGATAAATGTTAACTAAATATGTGGAAATATAAGCATATTCTTATTTCGGGATCACTTTAAATAAAAAAAAACTATTGAATTTTATTTTCTGTTGGTTTCTAGAAATGTGTACTTTCAGAATGTGGAAGCAATCAAAGATATTCTCAACCAGAAATTGTGGGCACTTGTATATTTAAATGGAATCTGTCAAAAATTAAAACATATAATATATATCTGTTTATAGAGCAAAGTTTTTATTTATCGAGGAAAAGAATATGAACGCCGTGAAGATTTTGAAGCAAGATTATTAACGCAGTTTCCTAATGCAGAAAAAATGAAGACTACATCACCTCCTGGTGAAGATATTAAAAATTCTCATGGTCAATGTATCCTTTAAAAGTTTCGATGGCCTTGATTGCTGCCTCCTGTTAAAATGAATATAGGAATATCATTGATTTTTTTAAGAAGGACTAAAAGTATGTATCTACAAAGATCGGAATCATGCAAGGTGTGGTATTCTGCGTGATACTCTACAGAAATAAAGTTGGTCTATGAAGAAGCAGGTTAGGGAGAGTATTGACACTTTTGAACCTTGTTCAATATTCGTTTCAATATTTGAAGGGCTGCCACATAGAGGAGGGGGTCAAGCTATTTTCCAAAACACCTGAAGGCCAGACAAGGAACTGAGACATTCAACCTGGAAATAAGGAGGAATTTTCTGGCAGTGAGACCAATCAATCAATGGAACAGCTTGCCTTCAGAAGTTGTGGGAGCTTCATCACTGGAAGCTTTCAAGAAGAGACTGGACTGCCATTTGTCAAAAATTGTGTAGGGTCTGCCTGGTGTGGGGGTTGGACTAGATGACCTGCAACGTCCCTTCCAACTCTTTTAATCTGTATCTGTAAAAAGAATCTCAACAATTTATGGGGTTCTTGCCTTACCTATGTTCTCTTATTGTTACGTATGAATTGTATCTAGGCCAAGATGATGTGAGATTTAGCCAACTTGGCCAGAGGTGGGTTCCTACCAGTTCGCACCTATTCGGTAGAACCGGTTCGTCAAATCTACCGAACCGGTTAGAAGAGGTTCCACCAGTGGACNGAAGGATGGAAGGCTGAGTCAACCCTGAGCCGGTGAGATTAGAACCGCTGAACTGCTGAACTAGCAGTCAGCTGAAGTGGCCTGCAGTACTGCACCCTAACCACTGCGCCACCACGGCTCCTAAAGTGTCCTATTTTTGTTTCGAACCTGTCCCGAACGATATTTTCCTATCTTCCAACAGAAACCCAACCAATCTCTCTTCTTTTATGTCCAGAAAAGGCTAAGCGTTTTCATTCCATTTTTTAAAAAGTCACCGATACCGTTGTTCTTTGGCTACGGAAGAGACTCCGACATTAAGAGACTTTTGACATTAAGCAATGGGGAGGGAAAGAAAAGCACCTCGAAGCGTCCATGCAAGAGAAGTAAGAAAATGTGCAGTTAAATTTAATATTGTTTCAAATTACGTCCTTGTTTTATGTGTATCTACTTTCCGTGCCTCTTTATGTAGCGTAAAATTGCAGGTATTAACCTGCTGCCATTTGGGCCAAAAAAAAAACTCCACCGGAAAGCAGCATGAAATGCTCCTGCAATCTTGTCCCCCAGCAAGGTGAAAATTCAGCCGCCCGAGGGGAGATATTTCTGTCTCACGAGCACGGAACAAATTTATTATCATTAATGGAAGTTGTCCGAGGTGAAAAACATGGTGAAAGACGACGAATCCCCTGGAATGTACATCCCACCTCTTGACCCAGAGATAAAACTCGAAAAAACTCTGCCCCCAGGAGACGAAGCGACTGTTTCCAAATGGTTGCAAAGAAAGGCTTTAAATTAAATATAAACTTTTAACTGTCAGGCGGAGCAAACCAGGAGCCAGGATGGAGTTCAAAAGCACTGCAAACACCCATAACTTTGGAAAGCAAGTCACTCCACGGAGTAAGTTTTCTCGCTGTCAGGGAATTTCTCCTTTGTTCTAAGTTGCTTCTCTCCTTGATTAGTTTCCACCCATTGCTTCTTCTCCTGCCCTCAGGTGCCTTGGAGAATAGCTTGACTCCCTCTTCTTTGTNAAAATAAAGTGTGATGGATTATATATGACACTGGGTGTATTCTATTTCACAAAACCAGTAAGCCCCTGCTGGGTAGATCAAATTTTCCCTTTGAATGACAAATTAAAACAGGTGCATTGCTTATTAGCAAGCAAAGATTTAAAAACCTCAAGAAGGGAATTGCTTAGCCAATCACTGATGATTCACTCTCCTCTTTTTCCTAATGAACTGTATTAAAAATAACTTCCTAAGTAGTTAACCCAAACTTGCCTCAATAGGCAGTAGCAGCCTAGCAGGGAAAAGACTGTATTAAATTGACCACCCACTGGCTTTACCTTTTATCCAATACTAATAGAACTCACAGTACAGTGATAAAAAAATTGCTACTAGGATCTTAATAGAGAAAACCATACCATGTTCTTCTGCTTACTCCAAATTGCTTGCTGTAGAATTTGTCTACTCTGGCATGAAGAAATAAATGAGAACTTGGGGATATCAGAAAAGCTGTCAACCCTTCTAGATGGAACTGTAATGCCAATAATATTTGGTATTTAACAACCCGGAGTGTTATCTAAGAAAAGCACACACATCTACACACAAACCAAGCTGAAGTATCTGGTGTAAAGTCTACATTTTAGCTCTCACAGATGAAAGGAAAATAATATACTAAAGGAGGAAAATAATATAAGAAAGATTCTGAAATTGGAATATGCTGAATACCAACACTCTTAACCATGGTAACTGCATGAAAGGCATTGGGATTTGCACAATGCGCAAATGCCTCCTCTGTGTGGGCCTTACATTGTCACATATACACCAACATTAACTGGGCCAATCAATGAATGATCTATCTCTGTGAAATGTTCTGATTCTATTCTCTCTTTCTCACAAACACCACCTATTCCAAACTGGGAATATCTATATATAATAAGGTCTAAGCTTACTCTTTCAAGAAACTCAAACCAAGCCAATAAAAAATAATTATTGTATCAAGTAGGATTTATATGGTGGGGAAGCTGCTCAATGAACCCAGTGCAGCAATGTGATGAAAAGCTAACATTCTAGATCTACTAGCTCAGATAATCTGATCAGGGGAAAAAAATCCATCTAAGATGATTAAACATCAGTATTGCTCTTGCTGAAATAAGTGCTATACTAAAGAGCACAGCATAAGCATGTAATATTAGTTGATATGTTATTTTTGACCATCAAACTTGCAGTCATATATTGCTTGCTGATCTGGGAGCAAAATCCAGTGGACACACTTACTCCCAGATCTTACCCATTTATTTTTCAAACAAGATTGCGTTGTTGCTTATAATATTCACTGATGCCTGTGAAAGCTACAATTCTGCATGAATAAAAAAATAAACACTTCTTTTAAACCACCCAATGTTCTATTCAAAGACAATAGGTAATAGCCCAGCTCTGCAAATGAAAGAGCCACATTCAAAATCTATATTTAAAAACAAAACACTCTGGATAGGAAGGAGTCTCTACAAAAGTTCAAAAAAAGTTTTCTTTTTTAATCCATGATATTATGCAACATTGCAGCAGGAAAAAAAAGACACACCTTGATCACAGTGTAGAATTATTCATAAAGAAAAAGTGAACATTTTCACACATAAAGCTTACAAAAGTAAATTCTCTAAAGAAGATAAACTGCATCCCAGAAAAAGGGCAGGGAAGAAAGTACTCTGGATACACCAGTTGCAGAAAAAAATAGCTATAATTCATTTTACTTTCCCTGTCAAAAAGAATATTCACTTCAAATTGCAGACACCCAAGGGAAGTACAACTGCCACCATCAAGAAAACCACAAGCCATTGGGAAGATGCATCCTGTATTTTACCCTCTCCGGAAATATCCACATTGGCAAAGGAGAACAACATCATCCATCAATTAGAAAAGGCACTGCAAACTGAATTTCTTTCTTTCCTTAATAAAGAAAAGGCTGTATCAAAACAACCCCCTCAATTTGCCCACTGGTACAGAATTAAAAGTATTTTCTTAAGAGGTAAAGGTTCCCCTTGCTCATATGTGTTAGTCATTCCCGACTCTAGGGGGCGGTGCTCATTTCCGTTTCAAAGCTGAAGAGCCAGCCCTGTCCAAAGACGTCTCCATGGTCATGTGGCTGACATGACTAAACACCAAAGGCGCACGGAACACTGTTACCTTCCCACCAAAAGTGATTCCTATTTTTCTACTTGCATTTTTTATGTGCTTTCAAACTGCTAGGTTGGCAGAAGCTGCAACAAGTAATGGGAGCTCTCTCTATTATGTGGCGCAAGGGATTTGAACCACTGAACTGCCGATCTTCTGATGGACAAGCTCAGCGTCTTAGCCACTGAGTCACCATGATCCCGAATCTTA